ATTATTATTATTATTATTATTATTATTATTATTATTATTATTATTATTATTATTATTATTATTATTATTATTATTATTATTATTATTATTATTATGTTTTATTATTATTTTTCATTAAATGAAATATTTGATGACGATGGCAAAATGATGATAAATGATAGAAATTAATTAAAGATTAAAAGCATGATATTAAGGGAAGGAATAATTATAATTAAATGTGATATGAATATTTGATCGATAAGGATGAGCAATTAAAAATTTAATTTCTCAATGAATTTAATTAAAATATTTTAATATTACCTACAATTTTTTTCAAAATTTACTGTTAGCATTCTATTCAATAAATTAAATTCAGCATTTGAAGATATGAGAATTTCATAAGGAATCATTTAAACTAATTAAAAAGAGCTATTTTATTTGATTAACATTATGAAATATGTTATTACGAGATATTATGATAAAAACTATTAAAGTAAATCATTTGAAAATTAAGCTAATTAAGATAAATGATTAAATTGATGTAATTAATAATTTGAATATTAACAGATAATAATATCAATTGTTATCTCACATTTCATGAACTTTCACACATATCATGGTGTACCAATTGTTGGTAAAATTCCTACCACGTAAGCTATTTCTTCAATCATTTATAATAAAAATTCCCTGAAATTTTTCTATCTTGATAATTTCATTACCATTGATTGTTAAAAATTTTTAATTGAAGATTACTAAATTTTATTTGATTTAATTTTCTAATTTAATTTAATTTCTTTAATTTTTCATCGAATCCGATAGTTTATCATATTTTATTTTTACATTTGAACTATCCTTATTAATTGATTAACTTTGTCATATTTTGTCCGTCCGTTTAAACTACTTCAAATTTCACTTATAAATTAAATTTATCATATCCATTTTGTATATTTAAACTGTCAAAATTTTATCTTATCAATTGAGTTTATCATTTCATTTTTATATTTGAACCATTCGAATTTTAATTCATCAATTAATTACTAATTATTTCCTATAATTAGGTTACCCAAACCAAGATTACCTCGTTTTGATATTGTCGCTGATTGTTTCCCATATGCTATCGGTATTGCTGCTGTTACTGTTGCTATTCATATATCGATGGCTAAGATGTTAGCTAAACGAATGAAATATGATCTTGACGCTAAACAGGTTAAATTATCGTCAGAAATTTTGATATGTTTAAAATTTTCATTTGAAAATTTAATTTGGCTAAATTTTTACTTGTTGAAAATTCATAAATTATAACTTTCTGCTAATGTATTTGTCGCATATTTTCTTCAATTTTCAAGTTTGATTTAAATTCTTACCAATCTTTGATTATAAAAAGTTAAATTTAAAAAAAATTTGACTACAAAAAAATTAAATTAAATTTTTTTTTTATACTTTCGCTCATTCAGGAGCTATATGCATTAGGTTTTACAACAGTTCTCAGTAGTTTCTTCCCTATTTATCCGGTAGCTACAGCTCTTGCTCGGACAATGGTCAGTGTTGAAGTTGGCACAAGAACTCAGGTTAGCATTTTAGTTGTGATAAATTAGTCCAGGCTCTAAAAAAATATGCCTTCAATAAGGATAAAAATAAAGGGCCTAATTTTTAGCGTTATGTAACCTTTTGAAGTTTCCTTTTTTTTTTGTCGCATTAATTATTGAGCATAATTATTGCTTTATTAGCAATAGCTAATCCATTCGTTTTGGTATCATCAAATGAAACAAAATTTGTTTTAGGTTTGAAAAAAAAAGGTTTGCCTGAAAACTAAATAGTATGTATTGATATGTTTTATCAGCAAAAAAAAGATCATAAAAGTAATTTTACTGGTCACTAAATTGTAAGATAGAAATATAAAACAGGTCGTATCCTATAATTTACTGACCATTAATTTTACTGGTCACTAAATTGTAAAATTGGAGTGGAATGGAAGATTTGTTGGTAATTTTTAAACAAACACTTTTTTTTTTTGATTTTTCATGTTGTTTTTATCAGTTGTTTTTTCAATGTCTTTCCAAATTATTACTTCATTTTTTTACTTCAGTATTTCCACTTTAAAATGTAATCAATCAATTTCTGATTTTATAATTTTCAATGAGTATTTTAATTCTCATATTTAGGTACGTCAAAGATTTTTACTTCGAAAGGATGCGATATTTGAAAAGTCATCGTTGACCAGTGTAGTGGACATTGCTATTTTTGAATCGTATAAATGATCAACTTTTCAGTTTTCTGCTGTATCAAGCTGTTTATTATTGTTGGCGGTTATTCTAGTCCTTGGACCGTTACTGAATGCATTACCAATGGTTGGATATTTGTTCAGTTTAAAAACTTTGAAAATTAAAAATTCAATGAAAAAAAATTTTTGAATTTTAAATTGGAAACAATGAAATTACAACATACTGCAGTGTATATTGGCTGTTATTATTCTGATGTCACTTCGTTCGATGTTTCAAAAATTTACCGAATTACCAAAAATTTGGCCTGTTTCTAAAATCGATTTCGTATGTTTCATTAATTAATTAATGTAGTAAATTTGATCCTTTCAAGAGAAAAAAAATGTTTTAATTAAAATTTGTAAAGATTTTTTCTTGTTGCCTTTCAGTGAATTTTCAACAAATTTTAAAAGAAATTGAAAATTTATTAGGGAACTTATTGAGAAATTTGATAAAAATTCACTGATATAAATTTATTTAGCACCTTAACATTCATTTATAAATTATTTATCAGTGATAAAAGTAATCTGATATCCATTAGCATTCTTTCATTTTAAAGAAGAAACAATAATATATTAGCTATTAAAATTAATTGGATAATTTGCAGCTTATTTGGCTTGTAGCATTTGTGACAACTGTTGCATTTGATGTTATGATTGGTTTGATAATTTCAGTTCTTTTTGCTTTAATGACACTTATTTTCCGATCACAATGGTATGGATTATTCTTATATTTGTTGTTTTCAAATTATAATTAACTACATTTAAATAATTACAAACTATTAAATGTGTTTTCCTTTTTTTTAAATGTAATATGTAAAAAAAAAATGTAAAAGCATTCAGGGAATTGAAATTAATTAGAATCGAAATATAAAAGTAATATATTCAATAGAGATAACACACATATATACTTCCGGTGTACGATACAGAATCAAAAATCATAATATTTGACATCCGGAAAAGAAAAAGTGATTAATGTTTTGTGCCCGGAAAATAAAAAGTGATTAGTATTTCATATTCGGAAAATGAAAATTGATTAATTTAATGTTACAGGCCACGTTGGGAAAGATTAGTTCAATTATCAGCATCTAAACCATATTTTGATAATCCAAAACGTTATATCGCAGAAGCAAATAATCCTAATATCCGATTATATCGTTTCGAATCACCACTATTATTCAACAATGTGGAACGTTTCAAATTAAGCATATATAATGCGATAAAGGATTGGGACAGTAAAGTTGATACAATTGTAAGAATTATATTGAATTGAAAAAGGAAAATCAATTTGACGTTTTCTATTTCAAAATATCATCTAACTTCAATTCAAATGAAATAGTATTGATGGATAGTTT